CCCCCTGTACTGCTACCAAATTTGAGCTTTCTAGGTTCACGGGAACAGGAGTTATGATTTCCCGGCCAAACACACACACCGACACACATACACACACAAACACAAAGACACACCAACAGACACACTTAGTGAATTATATAAAGTAGGCCTAATAGAAACTGTAGATAGTTTGCCTGATTAATATCGAATGTTTGTATCTTCACTGCGATAAAATACGTGTTCAAGTAATTTTCGTCTAGTTTTAGCATTTAATGATCCCATTTCATTGTTTTTTCAATAAAAAACACTTCTATATTCATTAATTTGACCAGTACATGAGCTCATAAGGAAGGCTTGTGAGTAAAACAAGTCATAACATAACTGGACAAGTCGGTAACCGATATATCACGCGGGAGCTGGGGTGCAAATAATGTAAGCGGTTTCGATCAAGCAAAAAGTGATACTACGAGCTTTCATGTAGTTCGAGTAGACGTAATTGCCAATAGTAAACTGTAATTTTCAGCGTTGTCGCTTTTTTCTGCCAGTTGCATAACAATATGTGTCATCAAGTGTGCTTTTGAATGCTCACGGCACCTGCAAAGACGATTGGCTAATAGAGATGGGAGGCGGTCGTTTGGCGCGGCCCTTCGCAGCCACTTTGCCATTAGAGCGCTTGGGCTTCAATTGCCACCCATACAACGCAATTTCTGCGCAACCAACTCGTCCAAATTTAACAGCCTCTTGATTCACACCATCCAACTAATTAGAGTTTCTTCGCAGATAGGTGCGAGGCGACCCTGATTATGGGGTGAATTCTCAGGGGTCACCAAATTTTTCAATCATCCTCATTAACCTTTGACGACAATGCGGATTTCGACGTGACGCGCCCATGAGACCACGCTCCTCTCTTTTCGTGCGCGACTGGCCCCTCTAGAGGGCGACACTGTCCCAGGAGAAAGTTCTTCCACTGGCTTACTGAATTTAGCAATTGGTAAGAAACAAGAAAATATGGAAAACCAATGTCACTTGCACTAGTCACAGTGGCACCCACCTGTGGATGCCATTGTCGTCATAGGGTTAATCGAGTGGTAAGGAAGGAAATAGTAAAGGCTTCCCAGAGTTAGCCTCATCCATCCCTTTATGCAAATAACATTACATTTCGAACATACATTTTGTAAATCACATCAATATTTCGGACTTATTTACTCATTATGGCTTGTCTCATACACTGTGAAGGCTATGAAATCAAAAATGGAGAAGGAGATCTATGATCATTTGAAAGGTATGTTCCGTACAGAAAATCGCTCCAAGCATTCTATGCTAACAATAAGAGGGGTTTAATCAATCATCTGAATGCTTGTTTACCACCGAAAGAAGGTTAGATGTATATTTGACTATTATATCTTCACCCAAGGATAGTGCTTACTTCTATAACCAATAACCTGATCAATTTATTTCTCCTGAAACTATTATTTCATATAATCATTACAATTTCTTCACTTCCAACTGGATTAATGAGAATGTTTGGGAGTTTAATGTCCCCTAAGTCTTCACACTTGATCAGGTTCGTCTCCCAGCTGGGTGCGAACTCAGCGGACGAGTCGGTCGACAGGAATGGCGTTTTATGGGTGGCTATGCGCCCCAATGGCAAGGTGGTTGCGAAGGGCCGCGCCAAACGACATACAACCATAGAGATCGATAGCGAGGGGTCAAATGGCTCAACGTTCGGTTAGAAGGCGGCTCAGCCAACTTTATTTTGTATGATAACAAAGAAACTAGGACTTTCTAAACGTGGTTGCTTTCAGGCCATATCATTGCTGATTAATTATGAAATCATAGATGAACATTCATTGAAAATTAATTGGAAACATTGAAATTTGAAATATAAGTTTGTGTTGACCACAAATCTGCGACTAGTCTGGCAGTATTTCTTGTATATCGCGATTGAAGCCTTCGAATGAGTAAAAACTAGACCGTTCCTCTTGAAACGAGCCCCTGAAAATCGCTCTTAGCTTCTAAACTCTGGAATGCTTTAAAAATCGAAATTTAAATGACTGCTTTTTGCTGAAACAGTTTGAATTTCGCCATGAAAGATATGAAAATGAACACGATTTCCTGGTTCCGAACATAGGGCTAAATGTGGCTTTCGAAATTTGAGAATGGATTTATAGATTGAAGGAGAGAGTTTATGATTATGTTCATCCGCAGGCGACATCTCGGGAACTTCAAGAATCACTCTTTCATTTTTCTGAAAATGACGCTGCGAAATTGAAGGAAATTGAAAAATTATTGTACGACTGCATTCTCCATGAGCAGGGCTGTTCAATGGTATTCCATCCGAATAGATGGCTTGAAGGAAAATGTTCAAATGTCTTGAAATCTGGTTAATCAAACTACTAATTCAGTTTAAAAAGCCAAATTATGTCAGGAGGGTTATCAAAATAATCGGAACTTTATGCTTTTCTCGGATACAGTGCTATTTATAAATTTTAAGAGCTGAAAACGAAGTTTCTAATGGGAGTGGGGGGTTTACAATGCTGACGTATCTGCAAGTGACACCCTAGGTGCTGAGAGACTCACTTTTCGATTTTTGTGGAAGTGGAGGCAAAATATTCAAGAAAAACAAAAATTATTCATATGTGTGGATTCCTCACGACTAGAACTTCCAAATAATCTTACTTTCAACTTGATCGGAGCACCCTAACAAAAGTACAAACAATTATAAAGTTAGGATCAATCCGTCGCAGACCGTCGATTGACCATGAATATGCAGCAGTATTGTAACTCACTTGGCAGGAGCAGACAACAACCATGTAAAATGAGACCGCGGGTCGTTCGTAGAGAAGAAAGTCGAGTAAGGAAGGCAGTAGTGGACAAGGTGCTAGCGAAGATCCTCAAGCAATCAAGGTAGTGAGGGCTTCCGAAAGCGAAAATTTATAATCGACCCTAACTAGAGCGCAATTCCAAGCTTAATTACTGAAAAGCATTTCCACTTATTAAATGATGAATCTCAATTATAGGCCCTTTTGTAGTCTAAAACTTACTCCAAGATATCATCTTCTGATGCAAAATGCTAGACACTCGAGCCACAATGTACTCGTAGTTATGGCTTATTGCGGTGTTTGGGGGTCGATGAATGACTTCGTGCTTTGTTGTGACGGTGACTAGCTTACTCGTCTTGTTTCGCTAACGTAGACTACAATACTACTAATTATTCGGATGGAGACAGCCGACGGATTGATTCTTTTGCGCGTGCAGGTATGTGTGTGTAGTGTGTAGGTGTAGTGTGTAGTGTGTAGTGTGTAGGGTGTAAACGTTAGTGTGTAGTATGTAGTATGTAGTGTATTGTGTATTGTGTAGTGCGTAGTGTGTGGTGTATGGTGTGTGTACCGGCGGCAGAAGATGGTGGGAGGCAGGACCGGACGCCTACTATAGAGGGCGGGGTTTGCGCGGGATAAATGTTCGTGCGAAAATTCATAACCACTGTTTTTTAGGACCTCAAGAGTTCAAATTTGGTAGGAGAACATGTGACAGGATGAGATTACTAATGGTAGGAATTGACCACGCCCACGTGGGGGGGGGGGGGG